ATATATATATATATGAAACATTGAGTATTTGGAAACGTGAAAACCAGAGCAACTCAAGGGATATATATATATTTTTTTAATGTCGTCTCTATGACTGAATCTAGAAGCATTCCACCACACACACAAACAACAACTTTCACTATTTCTTCAATGTTTTAGGGCCTTTAACCAATTTCTAGCTTTCTATTTATGAGAAATCAGTTATATACATTTTTCTCTTATGAAGTCTGTAATTATAAAACTTGCCTTTATATGTTCCTCTTGATAGCGCTTGTTCGATCGAAAACGCGAATACGTACGAGCCTCCTGGAAAAGGTTGTTGCTCAAATGGTTAGACAAAGAAACAATGTATTGAAACAAGCAGAGAGAGAGGATGCTTACCATCGCTTTATGTTCTTCACTTTTGAGATGCTTTCTGAAATTATCAAGGCTTTTGCAATCATAATCGCATGAATCGCAATTAAACATTCCGGTAGATTCCCCCTTTTCACTAGTGCACCCCTGAAGACCTTCCCATTCACTAACTTGTCTTCTTGTCTCCGAAACTGTGGAAAAGGAAAAACTAACTAACTATTGCAACTACAATAATGGATGATGAGAGGAGAAACAAACAAACACCTGCCAGTAAGCTATCCCACATCCACTCTGCAGAAGTGACCACGATTGACATTTTGTAAGGCCTCAATGAATAAGCCAGAAAAAAGTTATTTTTCTTCTCCCTTTGTTGTAGCTGGGCAAGAAAACGAGAGGATCGTTCTTCCACGTGATTGGATATGAGCATCGTTGTAGCCGGAGGAGGATTCTTATATCCCCACCAAACCAAATTCGAGAACATGAGGGCGTGTAAGTTTTCTGTGTCAGTAAAAAGAAAGAAAGCATTTCAGTTGAAATTTAAAGCCTAAATTCCAAAGAGAGATGGATAACGGCTGGGCTAACCGGGAATGGTGTGTACAACAGCGACTCCTGTGGAAGAGAGCCCTCGAAGGAGATGATCAGGAGCTTGTTTTAGATTGCCAAACGCAGTGATGGAGACAGGACCAGAGTAGCCTAGTTTCTTGAACTCCCCTTCTATACTGGGACGGACCTGACGGGGATCATAACCCTCGGGAACCGGACAGTCTTCCATGTCCCACCACACGGCTATTTGAGCTGTGGCATGCTCAGGCTTCGCCGGGTAGTTCCTTCCCCACAACCTCGTTACAGGGTCAAGTTCTCCATTCCCACAGTTGGAAATCTCTTCCACTACATGCTTACTACTCGAGAGATGCCTCCTGAAACTCGCAAGGCTTTGGCAATCAAAAGAGCAAGATTTGCAATAAAACATTCCGGCAGGTGCTTCACTGAACACAATTGCACTTGTGGTCTGGTCCGTGGACCCTAGTAAGCTTTCCCAGACCCACTTTGCAGAAGAGGCCAGGACTGATACGTAGTAAGACTTAACTTTAGAAACCAGAAAAAAGTTGTATCTCGTCACTTGTTGTAGCCGGGTAAGATCCCAGCTCAAGACTTTTTCCGCCTCATCGGATATGAGCATCATTGTAGCCGGAGGAGGATTATGACGTCGCCATTCCAGCATATCCGAATACATCTTTGAGCAAGTGTTTCCTGTTTCAGTATGAAAGCATTTCAGTTCAAATTCAAAGCCTAAGTTCC